GAGTGTTCAGGATGACCAGCCACGGGCAACAGAGACAGGACTGAATGTTACAAGCACATCCCAGTGTGGGGTTTTTCAAAAAGTACATTCAAATAAAATGAGACCATTGGGACTGGCAACGAATTGAATTCTTACCAAAAGCTGAAAGAACCTTACACAGCATTAAAATAGTATATGTCCTTGCAGAAGACAGACATAATTTTTTTTTTAAATCCTAGCCAACTATATTTAAATACATTAAACACAAATATTCTCTTTACCGGAAAGGATTCCTCTTCTCTACAATCTGTTCCCAACCTGCCATTCCAGCTGGGCTTCTAAACACCTTCATACTATCCTTTCAGTTGCCCTACACTATTCTTTTCCCAAATAAGAGGTTTATTTCTTCCTAAAAAAAAAGCAGTTATTCTTTGATTAAGAAGTCTTCCTCAATGATTAGTAACTTTGTTTGCTCTCTCCTGACATTCTTTGGCATTTATTTTCTATTTCTCTCAAACTTTATTGTAGAACCCTTAGAATAAGAACCTTCCCTTATGCATCCTGGATCTACAATATAAAATGGTCAAACACATGATCTTTAGAGTGAAGTGAAATTGTTAAGACTGTCATTAGAAATAGTTTAATTAAATAATAGGAAGAGTGTACCTTGCATAGGTCCATGATGCATAATGTTCCTTAGTAAAAAGCAAGAAGGCAGAATTGGTTAAGATCTGCTAGTGTTACTGGCTGGTTGGTTGGTTGGTTGATTTGGTTTATAGGTCAGGAAATAGTGACAAAAAGTGATAAAATGACTTCTTTAATATCATTAAGTAACTCACAGAGTACAACAGTCAAAACCTTAGACCAATGCCTCTCAGTAATGGGTAAACCATCATGTTTTTACTTATTTATGTATTTCCCATTGTATAATTCGCTCCCAATAATTCAATAAATCATTTCTACCCTCTGGAAATTTTATAAAAAGATAATGAAAAAGGAATCAGAGGATGTTACTTTCAATAGCAGAACAAAGTCCTAAAGAAAGGCAATGTAGGCATTAAAAAAAGAGCACTGATTCTGGAGTCAAGGCAGCCTTCAAAACCCAGCTCTATCAGGCATTCCATCAGGAGCATGATGCGTTTAACCTATCTCCCTGGCTCTTCATTTTATAAACTGTAAAATGAGTGTAAGAATCTCTAGTCTGCTCCCTTCAGTGTCTTCTGTGAAGTTAATGATAATGTGTGTGAAATTTAGCCCCGCACCTGGCACAGAGTCAACTGTTGACTTTGAAATAAAAAGCTATATTCAAAGATCTCCCTGTGTGTGCACATTTTGGAGAGACAATGCATTCCTGTAGTTTTATGTGATTTGTGTAGCAAATAATTTCAATATGGCAATATTTTTAAATTCACCATATTGTATGTGGTGCCATTTTCACTATCTTCCCAACTTGGAATCACAGGTTCCAAATATTTATTTCTACTTTGAAGGCAACTTTCACAGTTCAACTTTCTAACATGTTGCCAGTGAAGAACACCGAAAGAGAAATGTGTGAAGAGTCGAAATTTTCTTTTTAAATTCCTGCAAACGGGGACTTCTTTGAGTTTAATATTGAAAATGTTTGATAGTATACCAAGCAAAAGTGGGAATATTGTTTTGAGGTTAGGATTACAGTGATTTTCCTCTTAAAAGAAAATGTTTTAAGGGGGTTGGGGTGAAACGATCCTCCTTATCTAGAAAGCATAGAAATCTTTGCTTTATAAGTGGTTCTTCAACAGCTGGCAAAAGCATTATTATCTGTGATCCCTTAGATCTTAATCTTCTTTCTAAATCATCTAAATTATAGTACAGCCCAAGGGGAGCTTATTTCGTAAAAATAACATGGATCTTTGGGACTGAGGAACTAGTTGAAGTCACAACCCTGCTAAGTATTAGCTGTACGACTTCCGGTAATTCACTTAACCACTTTGATCCTAAGCTTCTTATCCAAAAAAGGGAGTTACAACAGCCTGGACTACCCCATGGTTTGGGTACGTGAATCAAATGACACTGAGTATATAAAATGCTAACTGATTTTCATGCACTATATTACTATATTACCGATATAACTACTACATTGTAATTTCATTATCATTATTATAATTATCCAAGCTTTAACTCCTTAAAAGCAAGTAAACAGTCTTTTTTTAAAAATTATTATTTGCTTTTATCACCACCTGAGATAAAAACGTTACTCTCCCACCCTGAGAAAGACCATGCTCTGAAGTCAGAATGTTATCTCTCAAAGGCCAGCTTAGCGCATATGAAACTCACTGCATAAAACTGAACTCTTATGCTGTTATGGTTCCTTTATGTAAATTTGGGGCTTCCATGAAAAGAAGGGTCCGCCTGAAAAAGCTCAGAACAACAACATAAACAAACAACAAAATAAACATCTTTCTAATATCAAATGCACATGGAGCGCTTTCAGGTTGTCAGGATATGTGTCCTCTGTTCCTCACTGCAATCGTGTCTGCACTAAGATGGGCACCTGAAGCACAGGGAGGGCCTCAGGAAAGACCAGGAAGTCTGCCGGCATCTCCACTGCTGGGGAAGGTGACACCTTCCTGCACAGAGAGGTCGGTTGATCCCTCAGTATGGGCAATGATCCCTTTCTCTCCCAGTAGCCCACAGCCAGTTGCCCCTTTTATTTTTGTCAACAACACTTCCTTTTTGTTTCTCTCCCTCCAACTGGGAAGTGCATCACTGCCACAGACACAATACACCTCTTCATAGGGAAGGCGGATGAATATGTGCCAGATGGGCTGTGGGGATTACAACATGTTTCCTGCCCATGGTGACTCAATGGGGCTGGTATGAGAACTTATCTTATTCAAGAAGTTAGCTTCCCCTGGCAGAATTATGAGTCACAGTGCCTGTGTAAAAAACTCACTTACCAATAGCACTGGGGGGGTGGGGGGGGTGTCTTGGACAGATTACAGTAAAGGTCATTCAGAAAAGCAACACTGCCAGGACTGCTGGGGAGGGTTAGTACTTAGGCCACTAACTTCTGAGACTTCTGATCTCTCAACAAGAGTAACTCGGTCACCTCTCCCTTTTCCTTCAAGGTGAAACAAGACATAAAACCACAGTGATGAACTACTGATATGGATCCAAACATGTTCCATTATAAAATTGGCCAGTTTGGAGAATGTGAAGGATATCTGTTCATCCATTTAACATACATGTATTGAGCACCTACTGTGTGTCTATGTGTCAATCATTATTCCAAGTGTTTGGATAACTAACAAAAGGGACAACTGTCTGCCATCAGGTAGCTTAAAGCAGAGAGAAAAAGGGAAGAAGGAAGGAAGGAAACAAGAGGGAGAGAGGAAGGAAAGAAAGAAGAGAGGGAGGGAGGGGAAAGGAAAGGGAACAAGGGCAGGGGATTGGGGGAGGAAAAAAGGAAAAAGAAGAATGAAAACGAGGAGGAGGAGAAGGAAAAAGAGGAGAAGGAGGAGAAAAGGGGAAGAGAAGAGAGAGTTAACATCAGGAAACGATGACTGGTATGAGTTAGACTAAAGCAGCACAGAGGGATAGAGAGTGACTGGCAGGGCTATTTTAGTTAAGATGGCCAAGGAAAACCTCTGTGAGCAGATAACATTCAAGCATAGAATAAAAATCAAGTAAGAACAAATTATAATCAAGGGTTATATTCAAGCTTTTTAAACATCAGGACATCAAGGGTTCACTAGTTAAATGGGACACCCCATCAAGAAGGCCAGATGCTGGTCTAAATAGCCAGAGAACTGTCTCATATAGTATCCCCACTGAGTATCAGCCCCGGTTACAATATACCCTTTTCTCTGTGAAGCCCCGAAGGGCCAACAAGTTTAGAAGATATCTCTACTTTCGGCTTTGAGCTGCACTCTGTCCTAGTTACCCCTCCTTTAGTGTTATTTTTGGTTTCTAATACAATGCTTTAAGTGGCATAGAAAAACTGATGATCAGGATGGTAGGAGAGCTCAAATCCACACCACGTGACAAATAGTTGAAGGTGTATATTGCAGAACCCTGGGGCCAAGGTTATATAGTCAGTTCTGAAGGTCTCTCGCATAGAAAAGGAATTAAAGCAGTCATATTCAATGTATGGTCCATGGTGTTCAGGGGAATTATATATGGGAAGATTTTCTAAATGAAGATCCCTAGGTACCTTGCCTTAAAATTAGAGAACTGTTGCATTAGGTATTTTCTGTTTCAGTCAAGCAGTTGAACCAAAGAAATGTACAGAAATAACAAAGAGACAAATTTCAGTTTTATGTACTAAAAACTTTCTAAGTTTATCAGTCCAAAACCATAACGGGCTGTAATTAAATGATCACGAGGTGAGAGGAGCAGAGAGTTGTTCTGAGCAGTAATTCTGAAGATGAGAGGAGACCTGAAAGGATGATCTCTCAAATATCAAGTCCCTTCCAGCTCTGATTTCAAATGATCCAGGTCCATGAGGACTGAGTTTAGTTATTCAGCTCAGTAAAGGTCTTGGTTAGCTCTGCTTATGAAGCAACATTCAAAGAATGAGTCAGAAGACAGGACCTTTCTTTTCTATACAGAAGCAGGATGACAGAAACCCATCATAATTTTTTTAAAGTCTCAAAGAACTGTTACCACTGAGGCCTTCTCTACCTCTCAAGTTTGGAAAATATATCATGCTACATCACTGCCACTTCTTTTCCCAAAGAACCTGAGGTAAGGGAAAAAAGCAGTATTCTAGTTGGCTTGGGTGTGAAGGTGACAAGGATTCCTGTATTTATACACACCAGACCATTGCCCCAAGTGCACTGTGTCCCACGAAGAGTAGAGACATCAGAGTTCTTCCCATCGCCAAAACTCTATGATTCTTCAGATCTATGATTCTGTGCTACTACAGAAGGCCATGGAAATAAATTATACTATGTTCTTTTAAATTCATTCTCAGAAAGAGTGGATACATTACCCTATTCATGACTTGCATTTTAATAGATTGTCAAAAGCCGTCTACTTACCTGAGGCATCACTTTGCAGGATCCCATGGAAGCAGAGACTCATCATGCACCACACAAGTCTGGACATCCTGTCAACATAAATATGAAGTTAAGGGAGAGTACTTATTACTGTCAAGTGCTGAAATAATAACTAGTGTGTGTGCATGCTGACTATAGAAACTGCTCTAAGAGTTTTACAAGATCAACAAATTTAATTGTCAAAACCAACCAATAAGATACGTTTTGTTTTGTTGTTTGTTTTTTGATTCCCATATTACACACAGATAAGAAAACTCAGACAAATTTTAAAATCATAACCAAGATCCTTTGGCTAGAAAGTGGCAGAGCCATGATTAAACTCCAGCTGTCTGGCTTCCAAACTATTTCTTATTCATTGAACCATAACTGCCTACTGAAAAAATATTCACCTGTATTTTTTGACCAAGTCACATTTCTGGCAGATAAATTTGAGCTTCTTACCCCCCTTCACATTCCATTGGTCTATTCCTATTTTATAATCCAGGCACTTTTTCTTTTTGTGATGAATTTTTTGTGGTGAAGTCTAGAAATCTGCCACACCCTGAATTTATATTAAGGGGAAATACATAAACCGCGTGCCCTGATGCTCCTGCTCTGCTCTTCTCACTGGAAGAGAAAAATGATGAGGCAGGAGTCCAATTTCTGTGATCTTCAGCCTTCCTGTTGATAACCAGCTGAAACCACCAGCTAGCAAGAACCATGCCTTTATTCTTAGTCATGTGACCTTTAATGCAAAAGACCTGGAGATTTAACAACTCTGCAAGTATTTCTTCTATTACCACAGACATACCTGACCACTGGTAAAGCTTCATTGGGGTTACAAATACTGAGACCTGGAGATGACTTAGAAATTCCATGCTCAATACCTCTGCTTTCTGTTCTGAAAAGAACAGCCTTATAAGGGTGCTTACAGAGATCCTGGTAATTTGTCCAGATCATATTTCTAGTAAGTGACAGAGGTGGGATTTATATCGACATCAGGGTAACTACACAGGTTATTTCAAACACCTGTGCCACAAGTTTTACAACCAACAGGACTCCCAGCCTAGAAAAACCAAAGAGGTATTTGATGAACAGAGTGACTATAGAACATCATGTAAAACGGACCCATTTCAAGAGTGCTACATATAATAAGGTGTAAACTGGTACTGCCCAAGCAATCCAGGCTGTGTGGTTACCCTATGCAAGTCTTCAACCCCGCCAATGCTCTTGACCATGCATCTCCACAAATCTCTGGTTTATGCTTCCTTCTTTAGCCTGCTTGTACACAAATCACCAGTGAGTTTACTCTATCACAGACAAACATTTTATCTCAGAGACTAAATGTTTCTTTCTTCCTACCACCATCCCCTTCCAATCCTTACACCAATACCTTAGGGAAATCTTCCCTCCATCAGTTATTCATTTATTCAATAAAACATTTATTGAGCATTTTCTGTTTACAGGTTACCATGATATAACTGCAGGGGCCTCTGGTGAGTACCCCTAAAGGCACTTCTTCCCAGTAGAGATAAACCCCATGCAACCACTTCAATATCATCAACTCTGTATAGAACACACACATGCAGAGGCACTTAGGAGATAAGATTTACTAGACAGAAATTCTAGCACTAGACAGAGTCTAGCAGGAACTTAAAATGTGTACAAAAAAATAATTCAAAAACAAAGTAAAAAGTGATAAAAATAGAGGGGAACAGATAAGTGTTATTGAAGATCAGCAAAGGAAAGAGAATTACTCCAGCCAAAGCAATCAAAGAAGACTAAACACAACAGTTGGTTTTTGAATTGAGCAAAAACCAGTTTGGATATTTATAATTAAGGCAGAAGAAAAGCATGGAAAAAAAGAAACTTTTAGTGGAGAATAATACTCAAAGGTAGTAAAAGCATGGAACACAGAGAGAAAATAGACTATAAATAATTCAGTTTGGTTCAAGCACAGGGTATTAGAAAAAGAACTATAGAAGATTTTGTTGGAAAGCAAAACATTAAGATCAGAATATGGCAAGGCCTTGAAGAGCAGGCTAAGGACTCTGGATTTAACTTAAACAACAAATAGGCAATCACTGAAGTTTTTTGGTTAGAGGAGTGATATGATCATAAAGTTGTACCTCATGGAGGTCATTCCGTCAGGCACGTATTGGATGGACTGCTGCTAAATTCTGTCTTGAAATCATTTTGGCTCCTGATTCTGTCATCATAATAATTGCTATCCTCCTAGCTTTGTGTCATCTACAAACTTGATCAGCATGCCACCTGTGTCCTCATCCAAGTCATTAACAGAAGTAATTAATAATTCTGCATTAATCCTTGTCTGCGGAGAGCAACTAGATATTTCATTGCAGTTTTAGGGCACAGTAACTTCAGCCCCAATACTCAGCTATGCTAAAGCCTTCTGGCCTCCAATTGCTTCTGGCTATTAAAACACATGAACGTGCGCGCACACACACACACACACACACACACACACCCTCTAGATTTTTGCAATTTGCCTGTTTATATGCTGCTGAATTCTTAAGGCAATACTTAGAACATATTCTAATTAGTGTGATTGAGGGCATTAATTGATATTCCCAAAACTGGATTATGCTGGAAACAGCAAAGAGTCAGGTCACCAAGGTAAAGCTAATCTAAAGATAACTTGTGTGCAAACACAAAACCAGGGTCAGTCCTGCCCTGTGATAAATTAGAATAAAGCAAACTGAAAAGAAAATGTGATTGTGCTGACTTGTTTTGACAGACTAAAGATACCAAGGTTAGTGGGAGGCAGTTGGCTGATCTGAAACCTCAGGGAGAATGCTGGTTCATTTAACAGTGTCTTGCACTCAGCCTTAGAATTTTAAAATTATGAATAATAGTAATACATGTTTGGTTCTTGTTTCTTAGGGTGAGGGGGTGCTGGGACAAGGTGTAGAAACTGTTAGAAAGTAAAAGAACCTCCCTAATATAATAGCACATGGTTTCTCAGTGTCTGAATTACAGTTCAGTTTTAGATTATTGTGATGGGGTCTAACAGACCCTACCCTTGCTTCAGATGATGGGAACCTACACAAAATAAATACTCAATCAGCTTTTCTTGCATTATTCATTTTATTTACTATATGACTATCTTTATGCTTCTCCCCTTATGTATTGGTACTTCTCATATTTAATGCCATTATTTCCCAATCAATTGGGATGCCTATATTATCTAGCAAGAAGTTTCAAATATGTACTTAGTTCTATGTAGTCAACAATGTTAATGACAATTGTTAACATGGGCTCAGCACTTTAACGTCTATCTCTGCATACATGACTTCCTATTGTCTGCATTCTCTAGACTTGATAAACTTCTGATATCCTTATCTCTGCATCACCCTGACCACTGGATTCTCTCACCCAGGTAACCGGTGACAAGCTAAAGCTAGGTTTGCTTCCCCATGGCTGGTATTTGCTCTGGATCACCAGTGGCTCAGCCTTCCTTCTGCACAGCAGCATTTCACCAGGCCAGAGAACTGGATTTCTCCCTCAGTTTCCTGATTCCACGTATAGCTTCATACTCAGATAAGAGCCACTCCTTGAAGTCCACCAGCCTGGCTGGCGCTTGGACCTTCAGTCTGGTGCTTATCAGCACTTTTTTCTAGAAGCCTACATTTTGTCCCTTGTAAAGTCTTGCTCTAAGCTGGATAAACCTCCTGTAACTATGAAGCTGCTATAACAGCTTCATTCCTGCCATGGTTGACAGAAGTCCTTTGCTATGATCTGCCTACTGGAAACTTGGCCATTAACATCAAGACACAAAGCCTAGATGGCCACCCCCATGCAGGGTCAATGCTATAGCGAAATCACTTCCTTGAGTCTTGATCCCATCCTGATGCCATCCAGACCCTTCCTTTTCCCTTCTCAAAATTACTGATAAAGTTTGAGTAGATCTTGCATCTGTGACAAACAAGCATTTGAAGGACACAGGACAAGCTATTAATTATATCATTTTACAGAGAAGGAGATAACATTTATTAAGAAATCAGGGTTATTTTGTCATTAATATTTTATCTAGTTTATAATTTTTTTGAACCATAAGAGGATCCTCATGCAGAATAGTTCAGAATCCAACAACTATGAGTAAACAAAAGTTTTGGCAAGGTGACACAGAAGGCTCTGATTCTGGGCAAAATGAAGCAGGCATACTCCACCCTGTCTTTCCCAATGAATGCAGCTATAAAATATGTGAATAATGTATGGAGCAACTATTTGAGGACACTAAAAAGTAAATGATAGCACATTCCTTTCAAGAACACATAGGACATTTACTAAGATAGGACTTATGTGCCATAAATCAAAACTTAACAATTTAAAAACACTGAAAGTATGCTCTCTAACCATAGAATTAAACTAGAAATCAGTAACAGGAAGATAACAGGAAAATCTCCAAATATTTCAAAATACTTCTAAATAAATCCATGGGTTAAAGAGAAAGTCACAAGGGAAATTAGAAAATATTTTGAACTGGACAATAATGAAAATATAACATCAAATGTGTGGGATGCTGCTAATGTAGTGCTCAGAGTGTTATTTGTAGCATTAAAGGCTTATATTAGAACAGAAGAAAGATCTCAAGTCAATAATGTAATCTTCCACTTTAGAAACCTAGAAAAAGAAGAGAATAAACCAAGCAAGCAAAATGAAGGGCACAATAATAAGTAGACATCAAATGATGTTTAAACAGGAAAAAATATATAGAAAAAAAAATGAAACCAGAAGTTGATTCTTTGAAAAGAACAATAAAATGGATAAACATCTAGCCAGGTGAACCAAGAAGGAAAGAAAGAAGATGTATATCCCTAATAACAGGAATGAAAAAGGAAAGATGACTACTGATCACAGAGACATTAAAATGGTGATAAGACAGCACTACAAACTCTGGGTACATAAATGTCACAATTTAGATGAGATGGACCAATATCTCAAAAACTACAAACTACCAAAGGTCAGCTAAAATAAATTATACAACCTGAATATTCCTACAACAATTAAAGCTATTGAAATGTATTCATCTCCAGAATTTCCAGAAAGA